CTATATAGTATAATATACATCACTTCATATACACCATGTAGTATAAATACACCACTTTAAATACACCCTGTAGTGTAACTAGTATACACACCATACACACTATATAGTATAATATACATCAATTCATATACACCATGTAGTATAAATACACCCCTTCATATACACCCTGTAGTGTAACTAGTATACACACCATAAACACTATATAGTATAATATACATAATTTCATATACACCATGTAGTATAAATACACCACTTTATATACACTATATAATATAAATATATCACTTTATATACACCATGTAGTATAAATACACCCCTTTATATACACCCTGTAGTGTAACTAGTATACACACCATAAACACCATATAGTATAAATATATCACTTCATACATGTATACACCATGTAGTATAACTAGTATACCTCTACTACCCCCTCACTAAGACGCACCTCAGTAAGTCATGGTTTTGGCTAAGTCACAGGGAGTTGGATGGCTCCCAAAAAATTTGATTGTGTTTAAAAAAAAAAAGAACTAATGTTTTGTCGCACCATGTATTAAATTGGCTGTCTCAGAAGTATTATTAGTCAAAACCAAAGCAGTTAGCCAATTCACTAGCGAGTTCGCAAATTGGCTGCCCCAATACTTCTGAGACTTGCTGGAAAAGACAACTTAATACCTACTGCTCGTCAAGTACCGAGATACAAAGGGTGATGGCGGCCTGACTCGAGGTGTCGATAGGGGTATGAAGTTGCAACTTTATGTACTTCTCGACCGGTGGAAAGCTCTATAAAACTCACTGCAATGAATTGAATCCATGCAGACATGTACGTTGTAATGTGTTTCAATAAAGAAAATGTATGTACTTTAAATAAACCCTTGTACTGTATATGTGCTTTTTATAAATTTTCAATGCATAAACCCCCTTTCACGACACCCTTCGGTAAGTTGCACTCTCGATAAGTTCGATCCCAACACTTGTGACTTAGCGAGGGCCCACTGTGGTATTATATAACTAACATACTCATCTTGAAATTTGAAAAATCAGTTAAAATGATTTATTTTGCAGGTTAGCAATAGACCACCAATATATTTAGTGGATACACCAGGTATTATGGACCCACATATTCCAGGAATAGAAGCTGGAATGAAACTGGCACTATGTGGTAAGCCATGTGGAATTACCCGGCAAAAGACTATATTTTGCCTAAATATGTTTGTATTCCTACCAATCTTTATTGTTTATATTTAGTATACATTGTATAATATGTCTTTTAGCTCCGTTGTCGACTTTGTCGAGTGGAGCCTATCATATGAGTGATTGTCTGTCGTCCGTGTCAATGTTTTACTTTTTCAACTTCTTCTTGAAAACTACAAGCCTGAATGCTTTGATACTTGGTAGGCCTCTCTTAGATTTGTTTATTTCATGATGATATCTTCAATTCTCTAATTTTGATGAATATTTTTGTCATTTTTGGTAAAAAGAGATATTTTCAACTTCTTGTTAAAAAAAGAAAGTCTGATTGCTTTGCTATTACATATATAGGTACTACATGTGGTCCTCTCTCAGATTTGTTCATTTTGTGATGATATCTTCAATTCTCTAATTTTGATGAATATTTTTGTCATTTTTGGTAAAAAGAGATATTTTTGACTTCTTGTTAAAAAAAGAAAGTCTGATTGCTTTGCTATTACATATACATGTATAGGTACTACATGTGGATCTCTCTCAGATTTCGTGATGATATCTGCAATTATCTAATTTTGATGAATATTTTTGGTGAAAAGTGATATTTTCGAATTCTTGTTAAAACAGCAAGTTTGATATTGTTCATTTTTTAATGATATCTTCAGTTCTTTAATTGTAATGTGCATTGCTAACAGCGGAGCTATCTCAGCCAACAGGCTGCTTGTTCATTATTGTTGTATTTATATATTTACAGTAGAATTAATCTGACAAACACTTGTAGTTTTTAGTGTACGATGACTTTAACTAATTGAATGACAACTTTTGCCATCTTTCATAAAATAAACCTGCGTAATGTTTCTACATTTTTTTTCCAAATTTTAATCACGACCTGTAGTAAATGGTAAATTATGTCCATTTTGTTCAAAATTAATAAAGAAATTTCAGAAAAATACCTAAAAATGTGGAGATTGAAATTATGATTTTGCATTAGTTTTAACATCTCTACAATCTACGGTGAACACTACTTTGTCACTTTATACTGTTTAATTTTGCTGTTAGAAATTTTCATGATTTGGTGATCTATGGCATAAGTGGAGAAAAAGTCACTAACAAAATTCAGGAAAATTTGTCTCCTGTGAATAGGTGATTTTCCGTACAATTGCGAGATCTCGCGAGATGTATGAAAAACGCGCGCCGCAAAAATCGACTGATTTGATTTTGAACTAGAATTTCTTTATTTCGTAACTCACATCGACCGGCCGATCTTCGACAGAGGAATATTGCTTCCGAATACCCTTACTTAATCAAAATTGCCTATCATCAAATGTGGACAGCACATTATTAAGCATGGAAATGTCCCCAAAATACTTCGCGTTTGTCGAATCCCACGCGATGTTTGACGCTACTACGACGCTATGACCTTTGTTTGTCCTGTTTTTACATTCGATTTCACGCATAACGCGTGATTCTCGCAGTGAACGGAAAATGGTCTATTAAAGTGGTTTACAGTGCTTAGTGAACCAGTTTAATTTTGTGAATTTTATTGACTGAATACAGAACACAACTTTGAATCACATTTTTGTCTTCACAGCCACTCTTCATGACCACCATATTGGTTGTGATGTTGTCGCCGATTATCTTCTGTTTTGGTTAAATAAACACTCAAAGTTTGAGTAAGTATTATAACATTGTATCAAGATACAATTATCTTAATGATATAAACTTGGCACCCTGCAGTTAATCGCAAAGTTACGGTCCAATTGGTTTACAAATTAGTTGATTTCGTAAAGAACAGTGATGAACTCTGTTATAGTTTGTAATCCAAGGAATGATGTTTAGTGTTGTCGTTTGTGAACTTCAAAGACTTTAACTTCAGTGAGATAACAACACTATATGGTCAGCAAAAAAACACATTTTATCTGCATGGCTGTGATTCTATTTCAGCCACCCAAAAAAATATGATTATGATTTTACGATTTGTTTTTCTGCCTTTTAGGTATGTAGAGGAGTTTGAATTGGAAGAACCAACAGATGATATCATATTTTTAATGACACACTTGGCCAAAAAGGCAGGAAAGATGCAGTACTTTAAGACTTTAGATGGTAGGTTCCAGATGGTGTGGAGTTGGTACATAATGGCATTTTGGTTGGTGTGTGAGGACATTGGCTTGGTACATGATGGCATTTTGGTTTGTACCAGATGGCATTGATTTGGTACATGATGGCATTGATTTGGTACATGATGGCATTTTGGTTTGTACCAGATGGCGTTGAGTTGGTACATGATGATATCGGGTTGATACCAGATGGCGTTGAGTTGGTACATGATGGTAATGGATTGGTATCAGATGGCGCTAAGTTAGTACTTGATGATATCGGGTTGATACCAGATGGCGTTGAGTTGGTACATGATGGTATTGGATTGGTATCAGATGGCGCTAAGTTAGTACTTGATGATATCGGGTTGATACCAGATGGCGTTGAGTTGGTACAGGATGGTATTGGATTGGTATCAGATGGAGCTAAGTTAGTACTTGATATCGGGTTGATACCAGATGGCGTTGAGTTGGTACATGATGGTATTGGATTGGTATCAGATGGCGCTAAGTTAGTACTTGATGATATCGGGTTGATACCAGATGGCGTTGAGTTGGTACATGATGGTATTGGATTGGTATCAGATGGCGCTAAGTTAGTACTTGATGATATCGGGTTGATACCAGATGGCGTTGAGTTGGTACATGATGGTATTGGATTGGTATCAGATGGCGCTAAGTTAGTACTTGATATCGGGTTGATACCAGATGGCGTTGAGTTGGTACAGGATGGTATTGGATTAGTATCAGATGGAGCTAAGTTAGTACTTGATATCGGGTTGATACCAGATGGCGTTGAGTTGGTACAGGATGGTATTGGATTGGTATCAGATGGCACTAAGTTAGTACTTGATGATATCGGGTTGGTACCAGATGGCATTGAGTTGGTACATGATGGTACCAGGTTGGTATCAGATGGCATTTTGGTTGGTACCAGATGGCATTGAGTTGGTACATGATGGTACCAGGTTGGTATCAGATGGCATTTTGGTTGGTACCAGATGGCATTGATTTGGTATATGATGGCATTTTGGTTGGTACCAGATGGCATTGAGTTGGTCCATGATGGCGTTTTGGTTGATACCAGATGGCATTGAGTTGGTACATGATGGCGTTTTGGTTGGTACCAGATGGCGTTTTG